TGACAGTTTCATCTTTCTGCTTACACATCCTGCGTAGAGGTGTACCACTAGCCCCATAATATGGAGGTGTTTCCTTAGTTGACAGTGGCCAGTCAGAAATCCTACTGTTAAGCATAGGGTTTTACTGGTCACCGCCAGATATGTCTTCGGCGCCAGCTTCCTAGGATCGCCCAGGATGATTCTGGCAAGACTGCATCCTTTGATTCCATCCCATCTCTTTAGAGATTGAGCATGGGTGTGACGTTTGGCTAGTTCCGCAATTGTCGAAGTCATCAGGCCGTATAGGTGTCAGTGGGTCCTAAAATTCTTAGCCCAGCCGCGTCCTTGGCTAAAGAGTCGGCAATGCGATTACCTTTGCTCCTGTCATGCCCTTTGACCTGGAGTAAACTCCGCTTCCTGAGCCTTCTTTGGTCGATGGTATTCAGCTCTCCGTCAATGCCTGATCAAACCCGACAGTCACCGTTCCAATCAGTAAAGTCCTCCTCACCACTCTCTCTCTCTATTGATACTATTCACTATGATGAATACAAATTTTCACAATATATACATTCATCTCAAGCACATGTTTCACAACATAGTAGCATTCTCAGGTAAACTGGTGAGTCCAACATCATCATTCCAACTGATTATGCAGTGGCGGATCTAGGGAGCACAGGGACAAGTGCCACCCCCAGAGAATTGAAACTACACTAGATATAATTTGGTGTCATTTTGAGACAATTCGGGACATAAGCTCAGGTCATTTCATTAATTACAAACTCAGATACACATAAAACATTAATTACCTAGGTAAAACTCAGATACTTGGAATTTAGGTGCTTTAAATTGTAAAATTTGAATATAAATCAATGAATATATAGAATTTAGTTACTGAAGACAGGCTCGAACAAGTCATTTCTACAATTTTTTAGTGAAAATCTCAAACTATAGTGTTTTATGAATAGGTTTTTCATCATAGTTGTACCGTTTTGTTCATTGCGAAAATGTTGAAAGTATCTCTAGTCGAATCTTGTGGTTTGTGTTGGTACGAGATGAGTGGCAGTGGTGGAAAGAAAGAAAACTGTACCTTTTATAAATATTAAAAAATAGAATACATTTTCAGCTCGGTTTTTCATATCAATTTCTTTTTTCAGGTAGACGCGTCGCGTTCTGAACAAGACAGCAGTTCCAGTTTCAGGTACCGCCTGAAAGAACATCCTCTGAACAAGCAATAATACCCAAATATCTTATAGGCAATAGCTAAAAAATTTCTACAGCAAGCGCCAAACGTGATGGCGAGCCCGCTCCCAGGCGCACAAACTCATTTTCAGTGTAACCCCTACTACAGCTCTTGAAAGACATACAAATGCTCTGTACAGAGGCGTATCATTACTTGTACTCCAATGCTGTTAGCGTTTGGCATTGTTTGAATGATTTGTGTTGTTTCTGAAAATTTGTCATCGCCTAACAAAAAACAAGTCATCAAGAGTGTATTATGTAACAACTGTACTACTACCTATAAATCTAAATAAAATATGAAAAGAAATTACAAAGAAGTCATGTTTCATTTGCTACCCTAATATAGGTACGACACTGGCCGGCAAGGGGCTTATTGTGATCCAATAGTGATTTAGTTGGAAAAGTCTCAGAATTACAATTTAAGTCCTTTTTTTTCGTTTTTCATCTTTTTCCATTTTTTTAAATACTGTAAGGTGCAAGAGGAAAATTAAACTCTCTCCGCTCTTGTATTCTATTGACAGATTTGTATTTTTTCTCTGTATTGTAACATGTTATTTCTTCTGTAAATAAATTCATTTACTATTATTAATAGTGTTATTGATTTCAACCAAGTAACAGTTCGGTGTATTAAAAACTTTCTATAAATATTAGTGGCACACTATACAAGTCCACCAACAAGGAGGTTGCAACGCACTGCTACCGTTCCCAAGCTGAAAATGACCGTCGTATAGTTAAAGACGAAACGTTCGGAGTAAATATTTGCATTGGACCACGGCTATCCAGCCCGAATAAGTAACGTTCGAATGTAATCAACTTCGGGCCGTGAGGTCAGTTGAACTTCAGTTCAATGTTCCATCTATGTCCTAGGTATGTACTTTTCGACACTGAAAATGTATTGATGATAAACAAAATTAAATTAATTCTGTCACCTATTCAACATCAACATGGTATTACAAAGCACCCTGTAGTATAAACGAAGTAAACAAAAAGCGCGAGAAGCGCTCAAAACACGTTTCTAATGCAATTGTAGTGATCTGTGATTCTCCTAGTTTCCTGGACGTCACTGTGATGTCTCAAAAATAACAAAACTTGACAAACCAATATTTTTCAATCTGCCAGAGTGACATTTGATTCAACACTTCATTTTGAACCACCAAAATGCGCAACGCCAGCGATATATTCTGCTTGAATGAAGAAGTCACCGATGGCACTCAAATGTTCTCAGTGAACGGTTCCTGTCCGCTCAAAATTAGAAGAAGAACCCAGCCTCGAGAAAACGAGTGCTTCGAGTACGGCCGATGCACTACATCGGAGGAGTTGGATCGCGGAGACACGAGATCGGAAAAACTGGACTTGGAGAATCTTGAGAAAGGTGACGATCCAGAAAAACCAGTCGATGAATTAGGCGGCAAAGAGCCGGAGACCCCCAAGGAGCTGGAGACTCCCAAGGAGCCGGAGACTCCTAGAGAATCGGGTTGCAATAAAAAGAATTCCAATGAAAAGCATACCCCTATATCTAGCTCGAATATGCAGCGTAACCCTCTCACTGGGGCTGGTATGGAGATAGAACAGCATAAAAAATCGAAGAAAGGTCAAGGATTTCGGGGGGATAAATGGATGTGGTGAAATGTGGATTTTTTAATTAATGAGATTGGTTTGTTTCAAAATTGTTTCAAATTAATTGTGAGTGAAATACAAATGAGTACTTTTCGTTATTCATTTGAAACTATATATGTACCTATTGTCATTATCCTCATTCACGGATTTATGCAGGTAATTGTATTGAAACTTTTAGGAGTGATAACCTGAGGACATTAGAGCGGACTACAAGTTTTTTCATTTGACAAGTTATACCGATGATTGCTTTGGCGAAAACATAATTTATCGATTTTTCCTCCAATTCCTGGTTTGGATAAAATTTCCTATTTTTGGATGGCGCTGAATTTTGAAAAAAAAAAATGTTGGACGTATTCAAAATTCCGGTCTACTTTCGGAGTCAAAAGTTGAAAAACCGTCTTTCAGGAACTCACTTCCGGCAACAAAAACTTGTAAAATGTTATATTATTTTCACTATGACCCGTTGTGATCTTTATTCAATTGCAATTTCTCTTTTTCCGATACAAAATGTTCAATTCCCTCGAAATTTTATTTTTCCAGCAAGCTACATACTGGTTATGAACACATGTCTCCATGTTATAAACTGGCAATTTCTGCTGGATAAATGGATATCTACTTCTCTCAGTGATAGGAACCGCAAGTTGAAAGGCAAAACCTCGGTAATTGTTAGCTCGCACAAATTTAGACTTCGGAGAGTTTTTGTTCATAGGGGTAACAGCTGGTTGAAAAAAAACAGATTTTCACAGATTTAATACTTTCAATTTTTCACACAAGGGGATGTCAGTTATCAAAATAAAAGTATCCGCTGCCATTGTTTAGGCTGGGATTGTTTAGGTAATGGTAATCAGTGGTAGTGCGCCCGACTCACGATCGGAAGGTCGTGGGTTCGATTCTCGTCTCGACCAGATATTTTTCTCGAGAGAATTTATCTGGTTGAAGCGGGGATGATTCTGCAACCGTGTTAGGAATCACACGTCAGAAGGTAAAACCTCGTTAGTCCTTAGCTCGCACAAGTTTCTCAACTTCTGAGAGTTGTCGTTCGTATGGGGGCGACAGCTGATTAACGGAAAAACAAATTTTAAACAGTTTCTTTTTTAACAGAAAAATATTTGTAATTTGATTTTTTCTAATTATACTTCCTAACTGAGGACGATTGTATTGTTATTAATAATTGAAAAAATTGTCAAATTGAAAGGGTTATATTTTTTTGTCATGTTTTCCTAAATATTCATAATTCAAGGTCATATCGAGTTCAAATCGTAGACTATTTTCAAATCTCAATATTTTGAAGAAAATGAGTGATTGACAAAATTTCTTTCACTGTTCGAGAATTCGAAACCGAATGACACTTTGGTCTGTTAACAATATTATAAAATTGAAGTAGAAATGAATGCAATATTGTTAAATTCATTTGGCTACTGACAAAGATAAGAAATGCCACCATTTTTTTCATTGCCTTTCACAATTGTTTCAATGTTTGTAGTTTTTGTACATTGTTTGCGCGAATAAACAAATATTTGGGATAGAAGCTGGGTGAATTTTTCAAAATTTGGCAACATAATTTTCAAATCATCTAAAGAACAATTCCTTCACGCCAGTCTTAACTTCCTACACTGTAGGTTAATGGACTGACACCTTTCAGAAAACAACTACTCCCCTGGCTAATACTACGAAGGGCGTTGGATTATATCCGACAGGTGTCTGTGCAGGATTCTTCACTGAAGCTATTCCTGCGTATGCTGTTGGCGATATGCAAGGTAGTGTCTATCATCACCCTAAAGTCGATGATTTCCGATAATTTAAAATCGAATTCCTTCATAGTATCATTCTTTAATCTAAGCTGAAGCAGACGACAAGAAACAGGTTTTTCATCGCCCCATCTGCCTGTGAACGAGGTAACCAACCGCATATCCGAAATTTGCCCCGTTCCTCGTATGTGGAAAGAAAACTTTTCACGAATTGTTCTTTAGATGATTTGATTTATAGCCAGTCTTCAAGTATGCCCACTGACTATATGTGAGAACATAATTATTAAGACACTTTGTCCCTTCTCCTGGTGTTTTGAGTGACTATTTCAAAAACCGCGGGCTAGAAAAACGAACATATACCATATTCCTTATAATTTTTTTCCAGTTATGTTTCAAATGTCACAAGCTTCAAGTAAGATTAGATTAGAGATTAAGAAATAATTGGAAAATACAAAACAAAAGGAATTTGAAAAATGAAAAATCTTACTTACAAATTTTTTCTAAAACCCGGAAAAACCTGCAGCACCACATCATCTGAAGATCTTGCTCTGTCAATGTCCTCTCTCTTATAAAACAAAATGTAGGGTGTCTCCAGAGGCTTCAATGAATTCAATACGTCGCCATAACACTTCGTGACACGACTATCGTCAAACTTAAACCAGTCCGTTTCGTCTTTGACCAAGACATAATAATGACCAAATGCAACGGCAAAACCACAGTGAACAATGACTGCATGAATATTATAATAGTGGTCAATATAGATAAATATCATTTTCGAAATCTGATTCAGCATCCAAAAAAAAACCTTGGTACGAAATAATTTTGAAGAAACCGAAAAACTTTTCATACTAAATAAAAAATTATAACCATGCATTTTAACAAAGAAATGTTGTATGAGTTTCATCGAGAAAGTAGCCGCTTTAATCATTACTTTCCCTTATACCTATGAAAGATAATAGATACACTAACTTTGGACCTAACCTATATAATAGGTACATGATTTCAACCGTTTTTTTATTACCTAGTTCGTAAAGTCTTTCTGGGATGGTGATTCCGCATTTAGAAATTATTTTAATTTGTATTGACTCCTAATACTTTTCGCCAATAATTTACCATATTATCTCCGTGAAACAACATGCCTACGAGAATAATAAATTCAAGTTTGGTCAATTTGAGGGTATTTTGTAAATACGCCAACGTTCCTAAAATTTTCGGAATTACATTCTAAAAGAGTGGGCTATGGGGGACAAAGTGTATTTATGTACAGATTGGCCAATGGAAGCGAAACATAAGACCGATTTCTCATAGGTAATGAAAAATAATCACTATAGGAACCTTCGATTTTTATTTTCAAGCATACTTTCAACTTTTTCCACACAAAAAGCCTCAAACTATTGCAACTTTAGGTATGTCAGCAACGGGCAAAAAAGCAAAAAAGCAAAAAAGTCCATCAAGATCTTACCAAAGTTGAGAACATCATAACAATTTAAAATCATTTTCAAGGCAGTTTCAAGGAAATACCAAAGATTTCATGTTTTGATTCATTAAACCAAACAATGATTAAGATAATGAAATTGGAAGAAAGATGAAAAATTGAACGTTTCCATTGAAATACCCATATTGGTTTAATATATTCACACAGGTCATATATGAATTTCAATAAAATGTATACAACCAAAGAGCAATTCAATTTTCGGTTAGATTGATATTCATCCTGACATCTACCAACGAGTAATCCAACTAAAAGCAGTAAACCACCCTCCCAATAAGATTTATGTTGTTGAGCTGTAGTTAGTTCATTGTCTAAATGCGACATCTATCGGAAATATTAAAACTAAGTCAGAAGGTAAAACAAAAACCAAGATCTTGTCATTTTTTTCACAAATTGTTGTGGTTTCTTGCACCTCCCGTTAGCAAATGTAATTTATTTTACATAATTCCACAAGAAATATTACTTTCATAAATTAATTGCCAGGCAAATAACTGAAAACACAGAAAACCGCAAAACAATGTTTCACATTCACTTACTTTACTACTATGTTTACTACCTCCGTTTGAGTAGCGCCATCATGGGTGAGAATTATTCCCTATCTCTGTTTAAAATACTTGTAAATGGTCCACACGAACCTATCGGTAATGGTCCACACTGGAGTTGTTTGAGAGCTTCTAGTATAGTAAAAAGCTGGGTTCTTTGGTTAGATTTGACCCAGAGACCCTAGTTTTTTCAAAAATTTTCAGTGGAAATCTGCATATTTCAAAATAACAAGAAATTAATTGAATATATTTAATGTGCATTGGTTTACAGCTTTTATTTTGATTTTCTATTGAAATTCAATAATAACATGCATTTCCTGTGCTGATTTGTGAATCTATGTGAGGAACCTATAGAAAAGTTCCACTTCCAACTTTCAGATACGATGTCCTATGAAACAAAGTCCTGTCACAACTGTCGATTCGTAAATCATTTTGGTTTCCGGTGTTCAATATTTGCGAAAGAATTTTATTTTATCTATTCGATAGATATTCAACTATAATAATCGAAACAAAATATGGGAAAATTTTACTTTATGGGATACTCACGGATTTTCGCGATTTTTTCTGTGATGATACTAGGTGATGGTAGGAATTGAGAACACTTTTTATTTTCTGTCGGACTCAATTAGTTTTCGAGATAAAGCCTGTCAAAGTTTGTGTGATGTCATATTTTACCATTTTTTAAAGCAATAAACGATTGCAATTCACATATTTTTTATTCAACACATCTTGTTTCATATCATCGCACTTTTTTCTATCCCTTTTCTTTCACTTATAGCCAAGTTTCTTGAAATTAGATTGAAATTCCATAATTTGTCACATGCTAACTTAACCTAACCTAACCTAACTCAGTCTAACCTTACTTCAGAATTTTAAAAAACTATGTATCCTCAACATCTAACCTGACCTCCAAACTCTGAAAAGAACGTATTTTCGAATATTTACTTTTTAAAAACTATTTTCACTCAACATATAACCTGACCTCCGAATTCTAAAAGGAACGTATTTTTGAATAGTGAAACTTAATGCAATTTATAAAAAGTGATTTGTGTGCACCTGACAAATTATGGAATTTCATTATAACTTCAGAAAATTTGCCAATAAGTGATTAAAAAGGAATAGAAAAAGGTGCGATGATATGGAAAAAGTTGTGTTAAATAAAAAAATATGTAAATTGCAATCGTTTATTGCTCTAAAAAAGGGTAAAATTTGACGTCATACAAACTTTGACAGGCTATATCCCAAAAAATAATTGAGTCCGACAAAAAATAAAAAGTGTTCTGAATTCCTACCATCATGTAGTATCATCCCAGAAAAAATTGCGAAAATCCGTGAGTATCTCATAAAGTAAAATTTAGTCCAAAATATAATATCTCACGAATTGATATTTAAATAACTCAAAAGATAGCAATCCCAAAAAATAAACATATGTTCAACATAATATATCACACATTTACCGTTTGATGTGACCCTCTTCGCTACAAATTGAATTCTGAACTATCTCTAAGTTATGGTTCTGTGAGTTTTGTGTCTCTGAACATTCCAAATTGTCAGATCAAATCACAGTCAAAACTGTCAAAATTTTGAACTCAAAATCAAAACAGGCAACATACAAAAATGACATAATGGTTTCCGATTCAATAGTACTAGACTAATTCAAAGAAAAGAAAGGAATCAAACGTATAATGTGAGTAATCTTGAGGAAACCGGTATTTTATATTTTCCTTCGAAGCCACAAAATGTTAGGTTTGTCAAAAATTTTGAATATAAGGCTCTACTCCAATATCAAAACAACAAGAAACATCCTCGAGCCTCTGAAACACAGGTCGCTGCTTCGAGTCGCAGGAAATGAAGTCAAAGAATTCCTCCAAGGTCTAATAACCAATGATATAAACCATCTCAGCCAAAGTCTTGGGGGTTCTATGTACACGATGTTTCTCAACACCAAAGGACGCGTTATTCAAGACACCATAATCTATAGAACTAAGGAAATTGATACATTCTTGGTAGAGTGTGATAATGGAGCCCTAGACCAACTTGCAAAACATTTGAAAATGTATAGGGTGCGTAGAAAAATAGACATTGTTAGTATGAAAGATGAACTTCACGTACACGTTCTGTTTAGTAATAACAGCATAAGAACTGAACATGATGAAAATGCTAGTCATACCAAATTGGATGGAATCGTGGTGCCCTGCAATACGTTGAAAGGTACCATGCCTGAGACATCAACTAGCACCACAATATATAAAAATTTATCAATATACAAAGATCCTAGGGTGATTGAGTTGGGATCCCGCATAATATCAAAAGAAGGAACTGATGTGAAGCAGCAAATAACCGAATTAGTAGGAGCGGTTGAGTCACCTCATTCTCACGAAAATTACAAACTTCTTAGGTACTCCTTGGGAATAGGAGAAGGAATAAATGATCTACCTTCAGATAATTGCTTTCCACTTGAATGCAATTGTGACTACCTTCACGGCATTAGTTTTCACAAAGGTTGTTATATCGGGCAAGAACTTACTGCTAGGACACACCATACAGGAGTTGTGCGTAAACGATTGATGCCCCTGTATTTTAAAAGTGTACCAACTAAGTTACCAGTGGATAGTATTATAATTCACCAAACTAAGAACATTGGAAAACTGAGAGGGGTTGAAGGAAACCTGGGATTGGCACTGCTCAGGGTTAGCTCTGCACTGGAGTTTGGAAATATCACAGTGGGAAATGGTATAGCATCTGTTCAGAAGCCTCATTGGTGGCCTTTGGAAGCTCCTAAAGAAAAAGTTAATATGCAAAAGAGCTGATGATTAATTTATTGTTGGGTTTGCTTAGTTGGTTTTGTTAGAAAAGTTGGAGGTAAATAATAATGCCATACTGTTATTCGTCCATATTCCTCTCATTTTTGCATTTGCTTGTTTAACATTGAGCTGTGATAATCAACATGATAATTCAACCATTTAAAATATTTTTTTCAGAATTTGACCCTCAATAATCATTCTGTCACTACTAGTGTGTACTTAAATTCACTGTCACAATGCCAAATGCCATTGGAGGAGAGATGCATGGGTACTAAAAAATAATTATTTCAAAATGATGTCCCGAAATATTCATCTCTCACAACTACCTTCGACGCAGGTTCTGGTAAATGCCTGCCGGAAAACAACTACTTCCCCGGCTAATACCACGATGGAAATTGAATTATATCCGGCAGACATTTATGCAAGATACGTCACAGAGGCCAGTCTCGCTGATGAGAGATAATACCTAGAAACTGGTTTGTAGGTGATCTACTCGAATAAGTTCAGTATGGTCAATCTGCTGGATGAACGAGAAATATCTGTAAGACTAACCTCTGTGAGATGTCTTGCATAATTCAATATCTAGCGTGTTATTACCCGGGGAAGTAGTTGTTTTCCGGCAGGTAGGTAGTTGGGAGAGATGAATATTTCGATATTTTATTTGGAAATATTTATTTTCTAGTTTTATATGAAAGCAAAACAAACTTATACATAATGTTTGCCAGCAATTGATTATAAAAATATATTTTTTGTATTTTCATTAATGACCTGATGAATTTGTTAAATTTAATTCAAATCTAGTTTTATTTTCACTTCCATGAAGAAAAAGTTCCGATTTTTTTAAAATACAGTAGAATTCATATATAACGACTCCGCTTATAACGACTATCTGTTTACAGCGACGGTAATGATTACTCAAGTTTAGTTTCATATTTAGTTATTGAGAAAATATACCGTTTACTGCGACTCCGGTTTAAGCGACCATTTTTCATGATACTACATCCGGTTAAAACGTCGCGCAACAAAATACATAAATCTGATTTGAAACTGAGACCCATTATTTCCTCCATTGATGCTCCAAATAGCAAAATTGCTCAAATAGTCATTAAAATTCTAACTGATGCTTATAATTATGAAAATGAATTCTATATTAAGGATTCTTTCGATTTTTCCAATTTCATAAATGAAAAATCACTACCTCCTGGTTATATTCTGATCAGCCTTGATGTGATTTCACTTTTTAGCAATATACCTATGAATCTAGTGGAGAAAAGTATTATCAAAAGANATTTATATATATATAAAATTAGCGATGATCAATGCCTTGCAAATTAATACAGGTACATAATAATGATATGTATAAGTATGCATTGTTTTTAGGATGAATGTTTTGTTAGGTGTCAACTTTTTTTTGGTGACTGTCAGTTTTTCGTGAAAAAATAGGACTACTACTAGAAATTACAAAAGTAGGACAAATACGAGGCCTGAAATAGTGTCAAATTTTAAGAAGAATGGCATTTTCTTTAAGATCTCTAGTAACTTTATAGTAAGCGCTGTATATTAATCAAGTCATTTTTGCTATAGGAATTTTTTTAAATGTTTGAAGTTAATCATTTTACTGTTTCAGGTACCAGCTATGATGGAAGTTGTGGACGAGACTGAGCATGTTAATGAAACCAAAATAAATATTAACGTACCTACTGAAGAAGCAAAAGTATCAACTGATGAATCACAAGCCAAAAAAGCAAAGGAAGAAATTAACTATTTCCAGTGCTCTGCTTGTATTTTCAGAGAAAGATATGAATATTTCGGAAGCAACCCACCTCAAGTCAAAAACTATATTTTATTAGAAGATGCATATGTCATAGAAGATCCATTCACTACTCCAAAACAAGGCAAAATCATAATACTCGGTTCACATTGTATCATTTGCAGGAAACCTGTTTGCAAAGATGCTATTTGTAGTCTCTATTTCGATGGTACATACTGTATAGAATGTGCAAAGTCTAGAGCAACCTCTTTTCCACAGGCTGTACAAGAAAAACTGAATAAAATCATATGAAATTATAAAGTCCTGAATCACTAAACGTTTTCATTGAGATACCGATAATGATTAAGGATTTCACCTGTTTCATATAAATTTTTATGAAATTAATATAACTCACCCAAAACATACACAGACTCAAAAAAATAATCTTTGTTCCTTTATAACTTTTTGTGTTGAATTGTGAAAACATTTCATTGTAATTTTTCTTCAAAAGATGAATAAAATTTTTGTTGAAAGCAATAAACCACCCTATCAATAAGATATATATTTCATTAGGAGACGCAAATATCATTTGCAGGAAACCTGTTTGAAAAGATGCCAAAACAAATAATGATGAAACTATGATGCTAACGACCATGGCTGTTGATTCCGATGACACCAAAGGAAAAATCAGTGGCAAAATAATATTGTAGTTGGAAACTATCTTTATAATACTCATAATAATTCAATTTTGTGAAACATTTTTCATATAAGAAAATAAAAATGTTCAGGCTTTTTCAAAATCTTAGAAATCTTTACTAGTCATTGTAGTAGGTAAATTTTATTTTATTATTTCCGGTAAAAATTTTTCTTTAGCCCATGTACTTATTCATTTTTAGTTTTGCTTTGACAATTCCTTCGTTCACAGATTTTTGTTGGATACTTCTTTCCCAAAGTTGTATTTGTGATATTTTATAATGTATCATTGAGTCATGTGCATTTTTAAACAGATTATTGTGTTAATTTGTTATGAAACGATCTTATGTTTTAGCCATTTTTGTGTATTCAATATAAAATCAATTTCATTTTGTTTATGTTTAATTATTCTTTCATTTTGTTTCTATTGTCAAAAATTTTATTGTAATTACTTTTGTCAATAATTTAAGTTTTCTACAGCCAGTTGAAGTAAATTTTCATAAACTCAAAAGAGTAGACTAAGTGGCACTTTTTGTACATAGGTAGATAAAGACAACTACTTTCATATGAACATTGAATTACACGAAAATCACTTTCTCTCAATATTGTATTAGAAATATTCGTTATGAAATTGAAACAGTATCATATATAGGAAAGCTACACAATGTGATATTTGAAGAGTACTGATATAAAATTTTGCTTACATGGAACATTAACCATCCTCAATAGGTTGCTTGAAGCTTCGGGAGAGAAGACAATTGTCCTATACCGTTTTGGTTAACAGTACAAGACAAATAGAAATAGTTTTATTCATCACTAAAATTTTCACACATACATAATTACAAGACTAAATACGTGAGAAAACTTATTGGACTAGTCAAAAGTAAAACGTTAAAATCAAAACAAAAATGTTTGATCTTGAACAAACTTAAAAGAGAAGACTACATGTATAAAATAAACTAAGTCATTTATCTAAGCACTAAAAGCAAGAAATTCATCCATTCCTGAATCCGTTTTGGTTATTGGAGATGATTTTGTAATGTTCAAGGTAGGAGATCAGCCGGACAGAGTAGGCAGCTTCAAACGCTTTGGAAATTTGACTCTGGACACAAATAGCCCGATAGTTTGCAGCATCATGTTCGGAACCTTTATTTTTAAATATTGGTATACACTTTGATTGTTTTAGGTTTGGAAAGATACCACTAGAAAATGACTCGTTTATGAGATATGCCAGCGGTTCACAGATTAAATCCACAGCTGATGTCAAAACTCTTCCATTAATGTCATCAATTCCTGAAGCTGTCTTTGAGGTAGTTTTCATTAAAATTGTTCTCAATTCACCTGGCGTTACAGGCGTCAGAAAAAAGTTAACAGGGGTAATGTTCATTTTTTTTGTTTTTATTGGAACTTAAGCTAATTTTTGGGAGGTTAGTAGAATAATTGTTAATAAAATTACATTTGTCCAGTTCATCTCTAATAGGTTCTCCATTCTGGTTATGTATGTCAGGAAATGGTTTCTTATTATCTCTATTACTATTTTCATTGATTATTTTCCAACTGTCACGTGCAACATTATTGGACTTTTTTATTCTAGCGTCACTGATCTGTTTCTGATATATTTTCACAGTCATTTATTTCATAACAAAACAACTTTATGTCACCGGAAGAGAAAAATATGCTCTTATCATGACATGACAGTACAGATAAAGAATTTGTTTAATGGTAGAAAAGTAAAAAGCCAAATAACTTTTTCCCTATGAAATTTGATGTCTACATTTTATTCACTGGTTTTTCAGATTTATAAAATGTATTCATGTAATTTAACAAATTTCAAATATTTACAATGTTGATAGGTGAATAGTAAAATTCCAACATGAATTACTTTGTAAACACAATCATTTTGCATGGGGTGCTATTTTCTTCATCTTCTTTTTCTTTTCCAGAGCTCCCTTGTTAACTTTGTATTTCTGAAAAATCAATTATTAATTTCTAATTTTGAATATTTCAAATGAAAAACTACCTTCTTCTTATCGGAGAATTTACCCTGGAATCCGGAATTTTCTATACTTTGTTGATTGGATTTGTCATCTCCTCCAGATATTTCTTTGTATTGATTTTCTTTTTTGATAAATTGTTTGTTTTTGTTGAAAGGTTTTTTGGCTAGTGTCCCTGGTTTGGTTACCTAAAAAATGACGTAAATCAAAGTACTAATTCAATAAAGAATTACTTTACCGTGTCTTAGTTATTTGTGAGTTAGATGGACGCAGTCTGCAGATTTTTACACCAAGAGTGTATCGGGAAGCAATAAAAATTCATAAACACATACAATTTCAATGGAATGGAAGAGGGAATTGAAATAAGTAAAACCTGACTACCTGCTCTAAATTGCACATCAGGTCATTTAATTAAATAGTAGTAGACGAAACGTCTGCAGACCATGGACAACGAACCCAGAATAGTTATGTGACACAGATGGTGAAAGTGTTCACCCTTTGAAATACAGTTTCACAAACAAGCCAATCTCATTTGAATCAATGCTTGTTCGAACTAGTCATCCCTGAGTAAACAGTTTTATATTCTTTGTAAGAATTTTCTAACAAATGATAAAGGCAATAATTTCAATAAAAATTTCATTCTAGTCACACCAGTTCATCCCAATAAATTTTTAAAATGTATGGTGTGATCCCACATATTTTTCGAGAAGGGCACAACATAAATAAAATATAACAATATGACAAAAAAAATCAATTAGACCTGTGTATGCTGCAGAATGGTATCAGGTCTATATTTGATGAAATAGTTCAGGCAAATCCAAATTGGTTTTCAAATGGTATTATATTGTAGCCTACTTATGACAGGCTAGTTCAAAAGTGGGTGGATGACAATCCAGTGGATAGGCAAAAGTGGTCCATTGGATCACCTGAATGACGCCTCAGATTTTGTGTAAGCAAAAATATGAATTATGTATACGCAGTCCTTTTCAGAACTCATAGGTATAATGAGAGATTACTGCAATGAAACTACCTCAAAAACATTCTATAACATAAGAAATCAATTTGTGAACTGATTCCATCATTGAATGGCTATTTCAATTCAAAAGATTGAACCAGATTTGAGAGAATTGAAAGATTTATGAAATAAGGTATCACAAGACTTTCCAATTGGGAAGATAAAGTTGAAAGCATCTTCTTGATGACGAGTTATGACAACATTATTGCTTTCATTATCAATGTTATCTTCCCTAACATGTAGGATCTAGGGAAAGAAACAAAATGACATTTGTAAATAGTGGCTTGTAAATATAGGTTAGATACTTTGTTAGTTTTAAGCAAAAACAAACCAGCAATCAGACAAGAATATATGATTTGATATTGATACGTAAAAAAACGGGAGATTGTTTGATTCAAGAATATCCAGAAGAAGTTATGTCTGAGTAGATATCTCAAAAATTAGATTTTGAATGTAGTGAAAGAAAGATCAATCTGAGTATTTAGACCTGTCATGCAACAAGAAATTATAGATGTTAAAAAAAATGAAAAAATAAGGTATATCCAGTACTCAATGCCAGAAATGAGTTAGAACACACCTCTGATCAGCATACCTGTCAGAACAACCTAGTACAAGTGTAGACCAATCAGGAGTGATCATTCACATAGACACCCCACCACCACCCCTACAAGTGTAAAACACGGAGCTCCCCAGATAGTCACTGATAAAACTTTGAAATATGTACTACCTTCGTTCTCATGGTCAATGCATATACCATTTGTAACAGTTCGCCTTATGAGAAGACGCCCTGTATTTTATTTTTAATTTTGTGGTCTCACATATTTGTCTAAATAGGAAAAATTGAAGTTCATGGGGAATCGTGAAATGTTGGAAGATTTCCAAATATCATATTTGTGACTTTTGCATTTCTTATATTTTTTTTATTATAACTATCAACTTTGAATATGGCGTATTATTGCCGGTAATTATGCTGGTAGGAGAAACAGGGAAAAAAGGGAAACATACAATATATTCATATCTCACATAAATAAGGGCACTCCCTATCAAAACTGATAAATATAATGATCAAGGTATTTTTTGTTTCCCTCTATATAAGCCTAGCATTTCTACAATGGGGGTTCGTATGGAAAATAAATATTCCTACCAGAAAGTATCTTTCACTTTAAATTCAGAGTTCAAACCCATAATAGTGGTTACACATTGAAAATAACTGCCGCAGTAACAGACAAAAAGTTTGGTAATATAAACATGGGGGTTGAAACTGGTCAACTCAGAATAATGTGTCCGTAGTCACTCTGAAATATTCTGGATCGTTCAAGAAATTTTGAGAATATTTGGTAAATTGATATTATATTCGATAACTACAATCTTGATGCATTACGAACAAATATTGAAAATGACTTGGAAAAAGTGGAGCAATGGTGTAATGCAAACCTATTGTCTTTTAGTATGTAAAAAACAAACTCAATTTATTTCAAATGCCATTTAGATCAAATATTTCTTGATGAGCAAATCATTGAATATGAATAAGAGAATAAGTTCTTATTTTACGTTGACACTGAATTGAACTTTGGATCGCATATCAGCCAAATAATAAGCTATCGTTAGGCTGCTTTGCCATAAGATCTATATCCAACTCAGTTGGATATCATTCAGCGAGGAATGCCTACTTCGCCCTTAGTGAATCACACCTGCATTATGGAGTTTGTTTGTGGGGGGTAAGTTCCCAAACATAATTAAATTCTATTTTCGTGCTTCAAAAAAGGGCCTATGAGACATTCGTGCAGACCTCTTTTTAAGTACATCATTAATATACTATTATGCTAATTTATGAGAAACATAATGTTCAACAAAGTTCTTTGTCAAGTATTGTCTGTTTGCCTAAACACGATAAACTCAAAAACTACCAAACGTATTGTCATACGGTTTTCACCTAAAAACAGAGAAAGATTTATGAGAGTCCAATGTGTTTACTTACCGATTTACTTTTGTTCCTTTTTCTATTTTTCTTGGCGGTATCAAGATTCGAAAGTGCTATTCTGAGTTCTCTGTTTTTTAGCATAACATTTTCCATTTCCAATGCTAACTGAACTGAGTCAGAATCTTTGAAATTGATATAAGCAAATCCTTTGCCCATTCCTGTCCTGGAATCTCTGACTATTCTAACATGAGATATAGGTCCGCATGTCTCAAATAATTTCCACAACTCCTCCTCTTCGGCATCTGAAACAGATTGAATTGATGAAAAATATTTTTTTAAGACTACCTCCCTTACGAATAAAGTTTTCAATTTCCTTCTCAAACATCTATGGACCTTCTGAATGATATTCACAATATTATATAAACTCAAATATCCATGAATCTTCTGCATTAAAGTCACAATATTATTTCTGACTAGTTATATTGGAGGCAATATTGAGAATAAAGTAAGTTCAAGTAATGACCACCGAGATATTGATTATAATTGAATACCAATCCTTCAATAAAATTAATCATCACGAAGCAATACTGGTAGTATTTTTTACAAAAACTTGTTTGTATTTTAATTACATTGTTACTATTAGCAGTCACAAAGTTGCGACTTGAAAAGGTATGGGGGAGTGCACTATCAATAAGTATATATGTAGAACTATTTTCAATTATACGTGAATCGTTCTAATGGCGAACCTAAATACGACTTACAAATTGATATCTCTCTTTTTTGTTTCCAACTGTAACTGTAAATGGTGAAAAACGAATTTTAATATCTGGCAGAAGCTGCCACCGAAATGAATATTCCTGAAATATCAACAATAAACGTTAAACAGCTCATGTTACATTCATTTGGTCCCAGTCACAGAAAATTCATTCAATTCAAAACGGGAATACAGTTTTGTGAAAGGTTAATTTTTGAATAAAAACTTTTTAGTTTTCTAATTCTCCACGTTATGTAGATAGTGGCTAAAGAAAGTGAAAGAAAATCAATCATATGCCTAAGAACTCCATACCAAGATGTGTATATCATCCACTGTATATCCTTTCAGATACAAACTGGAAGAAAAAGCCAATCCGAAACGAAATGCAATGTTATATTTAAGTTTTTAGTTAATTGTCTTTCAAAGTTATAAAAGAGATACTGATGTGGAGTTGAAGAATAGAATTTTCACCTGAAAGTTCAGAGAACACCGGAAGAGTGTAAGTTTCCCTTGTAAATTAAATTTTATATCAATTCTCTTTCATATATTATGTTATCTAGTGTTCCTGTGTACAATATAGGTTCCAATTTCATTATGAATGTTTAGAGTACAAGCTAAATGAGAAAAACTGGTGTCCCTATGATTGTGTTCATATATTTGAAAGTAGTTGTGTCTTTGTTTCTAATAGCGTTTTTCTTCCAGTCTGTATCTGAAAGAATATTCTGTGCATGATGTATAGAGGACTAGGATAAAGAGGCTATTAACTGCTACTCCAATCTGGAGACGAAGCTATCACCTATCAATCAATCAACCAATACTTTATTGTCATAAAGAACATGTAATTCTTGTAAACAAAGTACTCGTATAAATAAAAACACAAGATACTAAAAGCTACAATTAGTCAACATATATTAAACAAGAAAACAAGTAAAACTAAGGGTTCTGGCACATTTGTATAGAGGAGAATTGAGTTTGAAATCCTTACCAATAAAAAAATAATTTAATTAAAAGGTATTCGCATAAAATTCTTTCAAATTATAATACAGACGACTACACAGCAAGAAGTTTTTAAATCTGTTTTAAAATCTTCACTAAAGTAGAGAGCGGTCTGGGTAAGTTAATACTGTTTTGCTTGCATGTAGAATAGTGTTTAGCCGTATTGAATTCATTCAGATGTTTTTTAATCAGACAAACTGTTTCTGCAATGAATATGGCAATAATAGTAGCTTATGCAAGACAAAAAGTCATTTGCATGGATCACATGCCTTTGCTTTAGAGATGTATTTAATTACTATTTTTTGTGTAACCAAGATGCTTTGCATGACATTATTATTGCATAATCCCCAAAAAGGAGAACCATATCTCAGTTCCTGCAATACCATTTTTACAGCAAAACAACTAGAGGCTAATTTTTTATTTAAGTTCATTGCATGCTCTTCAAATTTCAAATTATTATCAATGAACACCCCTAGGAACTTAGTGTTGTTATGGCTCTCTATGTGACCCTTATCAAGTTCAATGTTACTAAAATCACACTTGAAGTATAATATATTGCTTTTTGAAACATAACGAATAGAAAAGCCATCAGTGGTATATTGAAAAATATGTGATTAGTAAATAAGATTTCTCATGCTTTCCCGATATTTCTAATTTGTTCATTACTGATGTAGTATAAGTATATAGTTATTTGGTCGTTAATTTACCAATTCGATTTTTTTAATTACATCATTGAAAACTCAGCTTGATTAGTCTTAAAGAGTGTATAATAAAGTAGAATGTTGTTGTGAAAGAAAGATTTTGGCTTTCTACTTCTCCATCTATATCTCCATGTAAGTGAAATATTACTTCTTTCATACACGATATTGTGAATGATATCTGAATTTTTTCCATAATGAATAAGGTACTTTTTTAAAATGATTTTTTTTTCATTTGGTTACTGGTGAACGTTTTCCTTAGAGTAGTCACTTCATCAGAGTCGTCTCACACATATTTGTAAAGGGCTTCTGCTGATGTATCTCTGTATCTGGTATCTGTAGAGTAGGGAGGGTAAGTGTAGACTCACAGCACTCAGACCACATGTTACCCATCGTACATCCTCCCGAGGAGTTGTCCTCCTAGGTCATCGTCCATCCTGTCCTTTTCGGGAAGATGAACAAGCCACTAGGAGACATCTCTTTATTGAAGGCCAGGTGTAGGCCAAGACTCGCCAAACACACACTCTTTTTGGCAAACTTGAGGTGTCTCGCGGTGGCCTCCGCGAAGGTTTTGGAAGGTGCAGCGATATTACTGTCATTGGGCAGCTTCTTCAACCTTCTTGGGGTTCCCTCCGTGGAGGTGCATAAGTGAGGGAGCTTTCCTGCAAGGGCAGCCGGTTCCTTGCCTTTATTTAAGGCGGAGCTCTTGGTGCCCGCCGCAGGAAGTGCCATTGCTGTTGGAGAAGATCTGCTATGTCCAGCCTCATTCCAAGCGGTAGATTGGGGTGGACAGTTCTGTTCATCCCCAGCCACCACCTTAGATTGAGGTGAGCACTTCTGTTCAGCCTCGGGATTGGTTTTTGTTGTTTTGTTTCATTCATGTGTGTTCCCACGAGTAGCAAGGGAAGAGTTGGTCACCTCTGGCAGAGCCCTGCACTACCAGAGGTAGGCTAATTACAATGAGGTTTCACCCAGTTCCCAAAGGGGATCGTTCGTGACCGCATATCAGCCTGTAGCCATTCAGCTGTCGGTATAATTCCTTGCACCTTAACTTGGGTAGGCTGGTCCATGGTGACATGTTTTGCAGAGGCTTTCGGGGAGTTTTAGTTCTCCTCACCCTACTTATTTCTGCCACTGACCAGGAGTCCGGCGACCCGTCCGTAAGGCCACATTGGCTTCCCAGACATGGCCTCCAGTCCCCTGGTCATTTCCCTATCCGCCACCTGGGGACGCGCCCGAAAAGTAGCCCAACCCACGGGCTGCTGAAGTATCTATTTATTTTCTCTTTTCTTCTCTCTAAAATTTTTTATGTTATGACGGAGAAGTAGAAAATTATTATTTTTCAACTGATGAGTGCTTCTAGAAATAGTTTGTTTGAGTGTGCAGAATATAGTACTTAGAAGGAAAATACGGTTAAAAGATATTCACTTACTGAAAGGTAAATTTCCAACAAATATTGCCTTTGTTTCATCTGGTTTTTGCTCGGAATTGCAAGAGTGCACTCTCAGATGATGCCCTTGAAGTAAAGCACCGTTTTCAGCTTCAGCTTTGATAGCATCTTCTTGATTGGCAAACCTACAGAAAGTGTCATTATTATTATTGAATTACTTACTTATTTTATGATTTTAGTATCTACCAGAAGATTTTATTATCTTTTCTTGAAATCAATAAAAGAGAATTTAACAATATGTGGGTGAACGATAGCAACTTTCCTACTTGGGGTATAAAAAAAAAGAAAAAATTTACTTGGTCCTGTCCCACAAATATTTACCATGCAGTGAATTAAATTAGCTGTTGCATTGGAGGTTCTAATAGACCCACTTACTTTAGACCTACCTACCTGATGTAGCATAAGATAGAATTTCTGTCAGGGTGGAATTCTTTTTTGATGGCGGCAACTTTCTTTGCAGTTTTTGGATCGGCCACAGGAATTCCTCTGAACCTAAGACTTTCAATCGGCCCATATTTCCGGAAATGCTCCTTCAATACCTTCTTGCCTGTTTTAATAGGCACATTGCCTACAAATATGGTTCTAGCAGTGTCTTCCTCACTATAAACTTTTTTCTTTTTCTCAATTGCTTTCTCAACACGTCTTTTTGCATTTTGCAAGTTTTCACTACTTTTCATATCGTCACTGTCAGCTATATCTGAGTTTTTGTTGAGTTTGCTTTTCTTCTTTTTAGTTTTCTTAACACCAGTGGAGTCTGGTAAATCACATTGCTCCAGATTTTGGTAATTTTCACTACTTCTCTCATTCTCACTGTCAGCTGAATCAACGCGACGTTTCTTTTTTTTAATAATTTTAACATCATCTGTGGAGTCGGGCAAATCATCAGCTTTCCGTTTTTTCAATTTTTTGGTCTTTTTGACAAGCTCATACTCGACTGAATTACCTGTTTCAGATTTTTTTTTCTTAACAGCATCTTTCAATTTAGGTTTCTTATCGATTCCATTAGTACTATCAACTTTTTCATTCTTTATAAATTGCTTCTTGACCACTTTTGGCTTATCAGGTGTATTCGTTCCTGATATAAGATCAGCCAAACTTCCCACTGTATACTCCATTTCGATCAACACTCACAACTTTCTTTAATGAATATCTACTTTAAAATTCTCAAACAGCATGAGCTAAATGGTGGTTATGTTCAAAATACTTTCTAACTGCGTCTTCTTCTTTTCTTTCGGGCTACTTGCAGTGTTGCCAGGTATCTTACCCTATATTTTGAAGAAAGCCTATAATTTGAATAACCTAACCTATAATTTGAATTCGATTTGGTATTGAATTCGAATAACTAACTACCCCCAAACGGTAGGGCCACTATGGTTATCTTACGAATACTACCATAATTATTTATCAATAATGATATAGTCAACTTCGGTTATGATAAATTAAAAATAATAACAGAAAAATTATTTTAAATTTTCACTTCTTAATCAACAATAAATAAGACCTTTAGAAAGCATCCAATACTTGAATATTGACAACTGATAGATCCTTTCTTTGAAAATTGGAATAAGATATGTCTACATACTGGTGCGTGGGGGGATGGGCTTTTGTTTTAGAAATTGTTGTAAACTAGGTGCGGCAGTTCTGATGTGGCGGCAAGATAGTGATAATAGTCAATAGGCTGTTCGATGTTTCTCAAAAATTATTTATTAATTCATCAATTTCTATTTTGTTCACTTCGAAGTAGTCCCCCGCAGATTTAATAAATTTGAGGACTTGTTCCAGCGTTTTTTTAAATCCTAGAAGTAGTTCTGATATATATTTTTTAGTATGTCATCGAGCTCCCTCAGCGATTCGATTTTTATCTCCTCTAAACTCTGTTCTTTCATGGTCTCTTCAATCTTGGGAATATAAAAAAGGCACAGGGGGGCTAAATCTAGTGAATACGGTTTCTGAGGCATGATTAGAGTATTATTTCAGCCGAAAAATTACGAACAAGCAATGACGAGTGAGCAGGTGCATTATCGTGATTCAAAAGCCATGAACTGTTTTGTTACGATACTGGACGTTTTTTTCGTGGCAAAAATTCCTGATGCATTCCGCCATGGTAATTGAAGGAAACAGTGAGCAAAACCTTGACATTTTGTCGAATTTGGTGTGCTTTTTTTGGTATTGGCTCTCTTCAGCTCTTCCATTGACACCATTGGATATCATAACCATATACCCATAATTCGCCACCAGTTATGACTCTCTTAAGCAAATAAGGATCGCTGTTGACGTCAATAACAACTACTGAGCGATGCTAATGCGACGGTTTTCTTGGTCAAACTTCAGCAATTTTAAAACGAACTTCGTTGCCACACGCTTCACGGTCAAAATTTATGAAAAAATGAAATGTCCTGAACTAACCTATATGCTGACATCCTCAGCAACTTCTCTTATAGTGATTCGGCGATTTTTCGTAACAATTTTATTCACTTTCTCAACATTTTCATCGGCTGTTGTTGTGCTGGTGCGTTCAGGCCATGCGTCGTCATTCACATCTTCTCGACCCTCTGTGAAAAGCTTGTACCACTTGAAAACATTTTCCTGACTCAAAATACAATCACCGTATGCCACTGTTAACATTTCAGGTGTTGTTGAGCCCATTCTATTTTTACTTTAAGAGGAAGATTAAACTCATTAATCTTCCTCTTGAAGATGATCACTTGGTGATCAAAACACGTGTCGAGGTGTTGGGAAAAAACTCTAGTAATATTCATTCTTCATAAACTTTGAACTATATTTTACACATATACCTGTAGGCAAACTTGCCATTCAAATGATCATACATTGCATGAAAGCTGATTAAGAGGCTCGAGCAATTCCACACTGACATGCAAGTGACCTTGTTTTACGATTTTTTGGTCAATCTAAGTGAGGAATTGCTGCTGAAATGTCTAATGGTCTACATAATTTTATTAAAAAATAATTGTTCTGATAACAAGGAAAGGAATGAAAAATCTCTTGAAATTGTGTCAAAGTCACGCTCTACAGTAATAGACGTAAAAGAAAACTGTGCCTTTCAAATTAATGAAAGGGAAATCAAAATATAGGAACAAAAGGTACGATTGAAAAATGAAACTCAATTCCTGTCTCACTATTGACCAATCTGTATATGATGTCAATAGGTGAGTTTTGTTTTCGCTAACTTCAATCCAGATTGAATCATTTCCACCAGAGGTCATTCGCTGTCTTTTGCTCTAAATATTTTTATCGAACAGAGAAAGTGAATGAATTTTCGCAGGACCACAAGTAAAATGCTGAAAGAACCAGTAGTCCTAGTATCCCCACTTTTTGGTAATAAATAACAGCATGCATGATCGAATCGTGGCAGGTAGTTTTGGCATGCGCCGTGAATTTTCATGTCATGATTTTGCTGCCCCCTTGTGTTGTAATCATCATTTTTAACCTCAATAATGGCTGGTAGTTTGTTTAGACATTTCAAAAGGGCATCTGAGTAGTAACTTTTTTAAATATCATCTGAACATTGAAAAAGGGATCACATCAAAAAATTATCTGGAAGATTTCTATTCTGACCTAATTTGTTGACATACTTTATAGGCGAGTAAACCACAGATTTCAACACTGAAATTTAATTAGAGATTTAACTTCTGTAGAGTAAAATGGTTTAGCCAAGTTTTTACTTCAATACTTTAATACGCAAAATTTTGAAAACTAGCGGAAACCACAAAAACGACCATACTCAATAATTCACCGTCGGCCAAATCTTAGGTTCATAGTAACTCTTGAATTCGATTATCGTCAATTGTAAAGGTAGCTAGGTTTATATGTATCAAATATGTTTGGAAAAATTTTTGGTACGTCAAAATTTCCATTTCAGATGGATTTACAAAAAACTTTATTTTTAGCTTATTGAGAAGTCGAAGATCGCCGTTGGCATGCGACGTAACTCCAAAAATTTGTACTGTTACTCTAGTAGGTAGTAGGAAAACATAGTATTGAACTTTGGTAACTTTATTGCATGAAAGAAACACTCCTATATATTTTGTACAATAGGTACAATAACTAATAGTAATAATACATGCGAGTCTTAACATATAATAAATAATCTAAAGAATGCGCATATTCAGTTATAAATTGTTCAAAAAATATAAAACAATAATAAAATAGATATCAGAATAAAAACAATAAATCTGTTCTTGTTTTCTATCAAACATATTTCATTCAAGGCCAGTCTTTTTATCTCTGGTTCTTGTCTAGACAAGCATGTGGTTGAAAGAATGCGAAAATCGTACGTGAGTATATAGTCTTTTTTTCTGTTGTGTTACTAGACATCGCAAATATACTCACTTAAAAACACCCAAAAGTCGTCTATCAATACTGTCATTATGGAAATATAATATGGAATCAAAGTTTCCTGAATAACATTCTAGCAACTGCACACTTGGTGAAGTATAACCGGAGAATACTGGTCATTAAATCTTATGCCACTTTAATATAATTGTCATCATCAAGAATTTGGTACTCATCTTCCCTGAAGTTGAGTAGGTTTTTATACAAGTTTTCCACGCTTAGATTTCTCAGTTTGACATAAACAGGTGCAATAGTAAACGTTTCTGCCCCTTCTGAGAGTTCTTCATAATACGCTTCTTGGATGTCCCCCATCATATGAGCCTGTCTTTTTGTATAGCCTTTGGCCCATCGTGCATCCATATCTTTTTTAGTTTCAATTTCCATCTCTTCCGTGGAGGGCAAACGTAGCGAGCCATCGAGGACCTTGGAGAAATAGTGGGCCTGAAATTGTTGGATAATAAATGATAATATTCTATTGCTTCAAATTTGATTGTACGCTTTAAGAGCTGGGTTTCTCTATTAAGGTGGTTCTTGATGGTGGTTGTTCTTGTAATGTGGTGAACTTGTTAGGCATTCTGAGTACAATTACGGTTGGTTCTAGTTATTAAAAGATGTATGTTTTCAGGAGAGATTAGTTTATGGAAAAGGAAGGTTAATGCTTCCTACTTCTCCATCTCTATAAAAAAATGTGGAAAACCACTTTTTCTTATTCAGTTTGTACTCCAAACATTCGTTATGGAATTGGTTCAGATATCATTCATATGAACGCTACACGATATGGTGAATGAAAGCCATATTTCACTTACATGGAACACCGTCATCCTCAATGGCGGACCTATCTTATTGCCTCTTCAGCACCAATCTGAATAATATCACAAGATGATGCCCTCAATTCTTTCATAATATCACGACTTTTTGTCACGGATGAGTTGAATATAATCATGTCACAGTGACAGTACGTAATGACATCCATACGCTTATTTGATTCAATCTCTACCATAAGAACCTCGTAGAATAAATTGAAAGAGGTATATTTTTTGAAGGGATCAGTGTTGGAGAAAAGAGAGGTTATGGATTTCATTTCATGTTCATCTTTCACTGCCTGAACCACTGTGCATGTGGGGGTTGAACAAACCGGTCATCGGATGCCTGCTTCCACGTAGCTCCGCTGCCCCATTTCCTCTACAGAAGAGATGGATGTCGAGTATACGACTTCAACTGACCTCCCTGTAAATTTAGTTCAGGAGCGAGTCTACAGAGGAGATGGATGTCGAGTTTACGACTCCAACGGACGTCCCTATAAATTTAGTTCAGGAGCGAGCCTACAGAGCAGATGGATGTCGAGTTTACGACTCCAACTGATGTCTCCCTGTAAATTTAGTTCAGGTGCGAGAGCTTCTCAACTCCCCAACTCCTGATCCAACAACTGAACCTCAAAAAAAAGGTTTGGTGGTGCAGCCAGGAAACGACCGAGTCGTCTCCTCAAGAGCGGGGTACCTTATAAAACCTCCTTCTTGAGCGGCGTATGCAGAATCTGTCTCAGGTGGGAGAACAAACTCCCCATGAGCAGGTTAGCAAACGTTAGCGCTCAAGTGATGATTCACTTGAAAACCAGAGGCGAAAAAGCCCTGCACGGCTGAATCTATGGCATCGTCAGGAGTAGCTGACGTGCAAAAACCCTTATATGGAAAGGTCGTCCTGGGTATCAAGGTGGGAATCTTGCAACGTGATTATCCGACCACCTCATTAAAAGAGCATATACTTTGTGCCTGCTCCGCTGGGGACCGAATCAGGTCTTTAGAGTTAGGTAGAGCCGTACTCTTACCGTCTGACCTGAAGTACCACTCACCATACTAACTAATCGGCTCCGTTAAGAAGCTGGGTTTATTTGGCCGAGTGTGAATAGGTGTGAGCCACAATAAACCCTTGCGATTTGCGGTGGAGGGTCGAATAGACCCACTCACTTTGGACCTAACCTAACCTAACCTAGATTATGCAAACAAGTTACTTTCAGATACATAGGTACGTACTGGAAGGAAAAGCCCTCTCGAAACAAATAGTTTCATATAAACATTCTACATTTTTGTGTTGTAACTATAATACAATATTCTCGGACAGTCAAGCGGCGTTGGAAGCTCTTGGCTCCTACCGAGCATCGTCTAAGTTGGTAGCAGATTGACAAAAACGACTCTCTTCGATAGGAAGACTTAACGGATTGTCTCTGGTCTGGATTTCTGGCCATATTGGCCTGGAAGGCAATGAGGCAGCTGACCTCCTTGCAAAGGAGGGTGCTGCAAGCAGCTTCATCGAACCAGAACCTGTCATTGGGATCACTTTAGGCTTTGCCAAACAAAGACTGAACACTTGGATGGCAAACAATCTTTCCATAATGTTAACGTGATAAAATTTGAAGTCATTCGATAGGAAAATACAGTTTTAACTCTGAATTCACATGAAAAATTACTGTCTCTCAAATTTCAGTTATTTCATTTGGTTCTGATAGAAAGTGACGTATTCTTATAGTTTTTTCTATACTAATTTCGCTTTGAAAATTTGATTAATAATCAAAATTTGAAGCATATGTACTTTTATGAGTTGGCTATTCTAGTAATTTGTCAATAGTGTAAATCGATGACTGATCACCCCGTTGTCTCCTCTGCTACAAAATAAATACCGCAAATGAATTTCACAAATGGACAGTATAAACTTCAACTCCATATGACAACTGGCACTAATGGCAAATACACGGAGTAGGTACCCCATTCAGAAAAAATCCATGCCTGCAAAAAATCTTTATTGATTTGAACGAGAGAATAAATACAATGTACCGATTCCCAAACGACAAATAACATCATCTATACATGACAGCCGACAAGTATACAGAGTTACCATCAGAAAAAATACATACGCTCCAAATGAAATCCTTATGCGATATGGTTCCTAAATATAAACTAGAAGTTTCAAATTTCATTTTTAAATGTAATGGAATATATTGCCTGAGGAATTTAAATCTGCAAAACAGAAATTACCTGTAACAAAATGGTCATTTCTCATTAAATCGAATGTTTGAACAACTTTATGAATTTTTTTTATATAAATCCATTTTTGAAAGCGGAACGATTAGAAAAAAAAACTATCGCCATATAGATTAAGTCAAGCTAAATTGGAACCAAGTCAAATGATTAAAATTTAAGCGGCAGTAATTTTTCATATAATTTTGAAGTACAGTACAGTAATTACATGTCTTCTTCTTAATGTTAAATGACAAATAGCAGTGTTCCGTGTCATGAAACCCCTGAAATACCTACAACTATTTTTACGCGAATAAAGCGAGTTGCAACCATTCTTCATTAAGTAGAATGCTTGAATTTATTGTATTTGTCTCAATACCTTTTCAATCACGGTTCAAATAATGTAACTGGTGAGGAACTTACTTGTAGGTCAAACATCATGAAAGTGCATACGTTGAACGGAACACCAATGAAACACATTGTTGGTTTGCAAATATTGATCATGTGTTTATACAGTGGTTGTATGTAATTGTCATCTATTCTTATCCCACAAGATTCATTGAGAAATGGAAAGCTGTAGTTGTATCCCGTACAAAATATTATGACGTCGAAACCACAACAAGTGTCGTCAACGAATTCAACTTCATCACTGCTTATGATGCGCTTAATGTCTGGTTTTTGTTGGACGTTTTTTGGAAATGGGCTATTCCTAGCTTCTTCTGAATGATGACTGAAGGCAACCTAAAAGAAGATAATTGATTTTCTCAGTCATTCGGATGTGTAATCTCGACATTTGTTCAATTGTTGTTGGGAATGTTCATTGGTTCTTGTTGCAACTTCCATTTCGTCTAAAAAAGTATTATGGGATGTGAAATCTAAAAAAAACACGAAATGATAAAAGTATTGAGAATCAGACGGCTCAAAATCCAAAGAAGGCTCAGGATGTGGAGGGTACTCCAGATCACTAAGCCTAAGGATTAAGTGGGGAATGGGAAAAATATCAGCGTGGTCCAAAGAGGACTGGCTGGTATCTCAATCGCTACAAAAGAAATAACCAGGAAAGGAATTTCAGGCAAAAACATAACAATCTGCATTGACAACAGACAAGGCCCATTAGCCTTGAATAGACACCGTGTTACCTCAGGGCTAGTACTAGAGTGGCGACCTGAGAAGCTGGTGCCGAAGAAATATCTGGCTATGACCAGGAAAAATCTACGCTTAACAGTAGGATTTCTGACCGGCCACTATCAATTAAGGAAACACCTCCATAATATGGGGCTAGTGGAGATATCTTTATGTACGATTTATGAACAGGAAGATGAGACTGTCAGGCATGTCCTATGCGAGTGCTCGGAGTTATCGTCAATAAGAGAGTGTGTGTTCGGCGAGTCTTGGCCTACAGCTACCGATATAAATGAGATGTCTCCCATTGACCTGTCCACCTTCTTGGAAAGACAGGATGGACAATGACCTAGGAGGACAACTCCTCGGGAGGATGTATAATGGGTCAAATGTGGCGTAAGAGCTGTGGGCTTACACTCACTCTCCCTTCTCTACAGATACAGATACAGAAGTCTTAAGAATACCAAAACCGAAAAATTTGGATGAATTGGTTGTGAAAGATAATAATAATTTCCATTCGTTGCGGATCTCCAAACCAACTTGGATGAATGTGTCGTTGTTCAACAGGTACGCAGTTTCTTCAAATTCACTTACAACCAATGTTCTTTCCTGTGTATGATTTGATTTTCGGAGGACTTGATGTTATGTTGGTGTGTCCAAATATGTTCTACTATTCCCTGCTGGTTTCTCCTCGTTTGGTGTTCTTCGTGTGTATATCATACGGACTCTTGATTTGATCCTTAGAGAATTCGTCACACTCACGATGCGATTCTTTGAGTTTTTTCCGTATTTGGTGACTTGGTTCTTGTGAGGCTGCTATGAATCTGAAGCAGATTCTGATGTACTCAGACCCAATTCTTCGTATCGTCTTCGTTAGTGCTATGAGATGTAAAAAATGTCTAGCATGGGTTTTGACAGCTTCTCTTCCTTGCGGAGCTTTTGTTTTCATGTAGCCGAAGTCTTTTCGACCAGATTTTTGGAATAACAATTCTTTTGAAAATATTTTCCGAAATCACGATCAATTAGTGTCTTACCAATTCTTCTCATGTTTGTCAAACCCATAGATGGTTAAAAAAAATGAATCCATGATTGAGTTCTGATTGAGTTTTGTCAATCCGATAGATGCGTCTACATAGGGGAGGATGTGATCGTCTTTGTTTCTAGGATGGTTCTTTTTCTTAAACTTCAGCCAAGCGCTGATGATACCTTGTCGGGTCGAAACCGCGCTGTCCAGTGTTGGATTGCAAGTTCATAAAAGTGTTTCATCTCATATTTTATCGATTATGCATGTGACATCTTCCCTTGTTCCGACTGTACAGAGGGTTCAATGAGAATCTAACAATAAATTGTTCATTCAATGCTAATATATATAGATAGCAATACATTTAGAACATTTGCCAAAGATAGCTTTGGAAGGTGCCAATAACAAGAAATTGTATGAAGTAAGCAACAATGTATTGTTTTTGAAATGAATAAAAGTTAACCTCGTTCTGTTAATAGGTATGAAATATATACATTTTTAATATTTCCATTTCACTGCTAGATAATTTAACAAAAAGTATAATGTGTGACTTCATTGAATTTTGCAATTTTTTACATCCTATGAAATTGTCGTAATGTTGCCGGCAGAAGATTTCGAAGCTGTTTTCTAATAATTTAATGTGCAAGTGACATATTTAAGGTTGAACATTTACGTTGGTGAAACTACATAGCTTAAATATTCGAATGAGGTTAACATTAATTCAATCGATTTTCAACGTCATATCATGTATCATCCATATTGAATCGTCTAAAACAGTTATTTATTCAACTAGACAGAGTATCAGATCTGGTGCCGCGGCTAGTACCCAGAGCAGTGAAACTGTTTTCCTGCTGTGTGAAATATATAATTTTTTCTCCGATTCTTTGTAGTTTTTTAAGAAAACGAAATGAACTTATGATGCACTGTTTGGAACCTTTGGTGTAGTAATGAATATTTTAATCTTTTAATCTTCCTCTTTGAAGATGAACACTTGGTGATCGAAACACGTGTCGAGGTGTTAAAAATAACGATTTGGTGTTGGGAAAAAACTCCAGTAATATTCAAACGAAATGAAATTGAAGATAAGTACACATGATTACAAAAGGCAAAACGGATTTTCAAGCCATTGGAGTAATGTTGGGAAATTGTTAGTACATTACTATATATAAATATCCACAGCAACCATAATGAAATTAGTCTTCATTTGTGAAATTATAAAACAACAATAAAAATTAATTGGCGCTCCGGGGCGACTTCATTGATTCCAGTGGCGCATTTGTTTTTTCAGCTGCAGGAAAACCCGGAAACCTGCAGCACCATATCATCTGAAGATCTTGATCTGCCGATATCCTCTCTCATAAAACAAAAATGTAGTGTCTCCAGAGGCTCCAATAAATTCAATACATTGCCAGAACACTTCGTGACAGGATTATTCTCAAACTTAAACCAGTCCGTTTCGTCTTTGACCAAGGCGTAATAATGACCAAATTCAACGCCAGAACCACAGTGAACAATGACTGCATGAATATTATAGATAATAGTGGTCTGCTAGATCGAAGTGTTCATCTATTTCGAACCTTCGAAAGAGTTTGGTGCTTCCGCCAGAGGTTGTCTTGTTTGAAGAGCATCAATGTTATTATTAGATTGACAGGTGCCTCAGCTATACTTATTTCCTGACAACAGTCAGTAATTTTGGCGCATGTTTGGCAATACAGTCAATCATCACCTGTTAAAAATTCCATTTTCAGATGATTTATCAATCAGCTTTGCACGGACGGGTTATTAGTCATATTAGGACTTGCTGGATGAAGTTCCAGAAATTCACATACGTTTTCGTTATCTCTTGAACATTTACTACAAAGTAAACAAGTGAGGATTTTTCCAGCAAAAGATTTACAAACACAAGACGAGATGACTGTATGGAATCATTCAATCCAGAGCGGTCAGGAGTATTGATTCTGCTATTGTTTTGCCCACGAAGAGTATTCAACAAGAACCCCAAGAATTCAGAACAATCCTCTTGCTGTCCTAACGAGTATCTAGTGGACTTCAAAAACTCCAGGAAATCGGTAAGAGGAAAAGATGATATATTCTTACGAAACTGCAGCAACCATAATCATCATAGAACTTTATATACTTACATTTTTATTATGTTCTGTGTTGGGTTGGTCTTGTTCTGTGCTATGTTATGTGTTTTGATTTGATTATTGATGTTACGAGTTGAAATTATAATTAACTTCTGAATTTTGTCGTTCTCTTTGGAAGTATATTCCTTCACTTATATTTTTCACGAAAATAAACTTACTGTAATTTTGTTTTGTTATTTGTTTGGTCAATAAATAATTTTTTGGTCCGGTGCTTATGCAACAGAAAAAGTTATTTTTAATGCCTAGCCATTAAAAATGTCACTTCTATGATTGATACATATCTCTTAATTCGATCGGAGGAGAAAATATACATTTTCTAATCATGAGTACTCACTTGGCCCATAAATTGGAGTATGAGCGACAGTTGACTTATTTCCTAAATTCCTCCTTCTTGTTAGAATATGGTATCGAAAAACAATTGAATTAATTTATATTCCTTTCGAATTTGTAATATTTTAACGAAGCAGTCGTCAGTTCCACAATAAACTGTTAAAATCTGATTTTCCGTTAACTAGTTGTCGCCCCCTACGAACGACAACTCTCAAAAGTCGAAATTTGTGCAAGCTAAGGACTAATGAGGTTTTACCTTTCGACGTCTAATTCCTAAAGTGTCAGAAAACAGTTTTGACAAAATATATATTTTTCATCATGAATTTGTGTTGAAAAGAGGGTATAACATTATAGAAAATACACACACTTCATTCATTAATTACGATTTTGAATAATTTACATTTTCAAAATTCACATCAATCGATAAAATTTGGTGTTCTCAAGATAGAATAATTTACTCACAGTTTCAGCCACTCTCGCCATGTGAAGTGTTACATCCAACCCAGATGGTCCAGCACCAACGACCAAAACTCTCTTTCCCTCGTATGGTTCTGGACATCTGTAAGTGCAACTGTGCTCTATTTTTCCGGTGAACTTGTCTTGCCCTTCTATTTTTGGTATAACAGGATCATTGTAGTGGCCATTACAAATCATGACAGCGTCATACTTATCAACAATTATTTCCTTGGTTGGTTTGTTGACGTAGGTCACTTGCCAACGATCATTTTCTAGCGGACTGATGTCCGTGACCATGGAGTTGAACTAGAAATAGAACAAGTTCATTGAGTGAATTGCTTGGCAACATGAGTCTGGTGAATCATGCACGGTAATAACCTGGACAACTGCGTTTTTGTTATGTAGTNATTGCTACTTTTCATTTAAAGTGATTATTATCTATACTGTATTGATCAAACAATGGATATATGCAAAAATCGATTCTATTTATTTATCATTGTTTTGCATAATTGGAAACTTTGATGTTACGCGTCTAGATAGTGTCTTTATGGGGATATATAATAATCCATGTAGATATAGGATCTTGCCAGCTAATTCCACTGTCTTATATAAAGATAACTTTTTTTGAAATGTGGTGTTCTTTTATCATTAATATCTTAATGCTTGAAGATTTCATGCTTATATTTCATTTTTATATATGTAACTGATGTCTATATCACTTCATCTCTTGTATGAATGTTTCTTAGTAGTCATATACGTTTTTTTCACAGATTTTTTCAGGGATTTCAAATCATTTTATCTAATTTCAGACAATGGAAGTCCGAACTAATGAAATTCAAAATATTTCGTATACGATGGATACTCTGGTGGGAATGTTTTCACAAATAAGAGAATGAGAGAAAAAATAAAGGTAGGATAAATCTATGATTTATCCTTTTGTATCGTCTCTAAATTTCTGGCAAATATTAGTTCTTGATATATTTTTTAATTTTTAATAAACCTCACGTATGACAACAACAATGCTTCGTTGGTTGGTAAAGTGGACTCATCTAACTGAATTTTATAATATAGGAACTTGAAGCGAGACTGCATCTCCATGCGATACTTTGATTGGCTTTCTAGTAAGAGGAAGTCCCGAGGTCTCCGCTTGGAGATTTCCCACCATAGCAGCTTAACGCCAAGTAATGCTACGAGACTGAATAAAATCTGTTTTTTCGTTAATCAGCCCGCATACGAACGACAACTCTCAGAAGTTGAGAAACTTGTGCGAGCTAAGGACTAATGAGGTCTTACCTTTTAACGTGTGAATAAAAACGTGAATAAAAATGAATGATCAGAAACAACAACGATGAGAATTTTTCAGTTAATTAATTTTGTAATATAAAATAGTTTAAAAGGGAACGAAATATATTCACGAATTTTTCATTCATATGCTTTGGTGCGCCGAAGAGTGGAATATCTTTAGGTTGTGAATTTCGTAATGTATTAATTATAAAAAAAACAGGCATACTTATAGTTTTGAATTTTTCCTAGTTTTTATAATTTTATTTTTGGCTTTGGAACGCGAGGCGTTCGTGTGGTGGCCCGCACCATCCACGGCTTACACCGCTTCTGGTATCAAAGAATTATTATGTATCATGTCCGTATAAGACGGTTTATGGAAAATTGCAAAATGATGTCAATCATTAATTTTATCGATAGTCAAGTGAATAAAATCGACAAATTCGAAAAACTTGCCCAATTACCTACCTATACCAGTAAAACAGATTGAGATAATCATCTATATCTGTAATATACATTCTCAAACCATCAGCCCACCCTTTCGTAATTGTGTCGTGAGTGTCATACCAACATCTAAAGGTTTTGGTAATTCTGTATCACATCGCGTCTTGCGTTCATAAGGTTTGTTTTTGACTACTTTACGTACCTACAGTTATGAAAGGAGTTTTGGTCAAATTTGATGTTGCTTATAATAGTTTGTTTCCCTCGAAACCAAACTTGAGATGTAGATTCTAATATACCTACATTGAAACATACTCTCTGTGTTTCAATATTCAAATGCATCTGATTCTTATTCACTGGTATCTCTTTTTCGCATTGTTCACCATGGCTATTAGAATCACTACACTGGAATAAGTCTGCGTTGTTATCACACTCGTTATTGCTATTAGTACTTGTCCAAGTACGTCAAATTTTAAACAAATAACAAACATTTTAAGTAAATATAACTGCACCAATCTCAAATTTCAACACTCAAATCGCGATCAGTTCCTGAACTGAACATCGATGACCCGACGGCGATAACCATCGCCGTATTCCCCGATTTCTATTCGTCATCGTAGCATGACTTCAAATTTAATTTTATGACTCTTCAACCAATCATAAAACCCGGTTAGTAAAAATTATCCAATACGAACCGACAATTCTACGGTCCACATGGACTAGTTCGCAGCCGATTCATTTCTGTGTGTTGGTTTTTTGGCCTTTGAGAGTGCCGCCAACTTTAAGTGTGCATAATATCATTTACTTCGACTATACCAGTGTGTTATCAAGTGATGAATATGAATTTCCTCTTCAAAGTTATCCATGAAAATTTCAGCAAGCAAAGGGCTCAAGGGGCTTGCCATTGTTAGCCCTCCGCTGCATTAATTACACTTTTATTCAGTTGAAAATAATTTTTAGATAGATGAATAGTAGGTAGGTCTAGAATTTCCTATTTTACTATAGGATTAACGTTGTTTCTCTATAAGAGACGATCAACCAGTTCCATTGTTTTAATTGATGGAATACAGGGAAATAAATTTTGGACATGCATTCATTGCACATGGTAAAATGCCCTTGCCAACTCTGTTCCTTTCAATGTGCTACAACTTATCTATAAACCCTCAAGATTCGAGTGATTATATCATCATTTACAATACTAGAGATGCTCTGCAACCAACCCGCTTCAAACTTGCTGTACTTCAATAAAAAATGATCGAATCACAATCCCAACAAACTTACTTCATCGGCAAGTGAAAAATCTTGGTTTGAATGAGAAATACCTAGGTATAGTCGAACTATACTCTTTCTATTTCCTGTTATTGTACATATCTTTTTATATATGAGAATTATATATGAGAATGATACTTGATGTAATCAAATAAAGTATTCCTGTGTTCCTATCAAAAGGATGAGTAACCAACATTTCCACCAAATAACTGCATCAACCTGTCTTTGATTATTATTTCATTGACTTCAATTGACCCGTTGAAAAACGATTGTTGAAATTATCATATTCTGAATCTGAATACGGTATAGTTTGTTAATGTAAACACCGAGCCAACGGTGGAATTCATTCAAATCGTGAAGAATCAGTAATATTTTCCCAAGGTTGTTTTAACATCTGCCCACGTATAGATATCTCATGGACACATTGAGTGCATCAGTTGCATTGAAGCTGCGAATTCTTGACAGAGGTTATTGCAGATATGCTTTGTTTACTTCCATATATTCCATCAATGAACTAAAGAATGTACGCGTAGCTCTCGAAATAATTTATCACAAGGTTATTGAGATCACACTTTAATGAGTTATAAAAGTGATTGACTTAATTTCCATTCTGGAAATTGAATACTCTCGCTGGTATTGTTTTATTGTTCTTGTCATACCTAATCAGGTAAATTCGAATTTATGGGACAATTATATGTACAGCAAGCGCCAAACGTGATGGCGAGCACACCCCTCATTTTCATGTAATCTCCACTATAGCTATTGCAGCTGTTGGCGTTTGGCATTGTCTGATCGATTTGTGTTGTTTCTTAAAAAATGTTATCGCCTAACAAAAAACCAGTCATCAAGAGTCAGGCACGTTAAATAATTTTTAAAGTGTTCAATGTGAGTCGGATACGTTATCAAATGTGAGAAATAAAACATCTCTCGCTACAGGTAACATTAAATAAATTCAAAAAATATTTTCACACAAGTCTTTATTTTGTATTAGGTATTTCAATAACAACTATTGAAAGAGTGGTTAGAGAAGGGCAGCAATTAATTTCTGCAAATAACGGAGAAGTACAATTTTCCACCCCAAGAAAGAAGCCACCTAGTAAAAGAACACCAATAACTGATATTCCAATATTAGACAGATTATTGGCTTCCATAAGATGGAAGGGTGTCGTATTACGGAACAAAATTAACGGAAATTGTGGCTTCCGAAACATCTCTTCGTAGAATTTTAAAGAAAATAGGTTTTAAATGGAGAAGGACTGAAAATATAATAAACATTTCAACAGAGAAAATGGACATTAGATCATTGAGAATCAAGTATCTACCAAAAGTCAATTATTTTCGTAGCCAAGAGGGACCAAGACTCATTATTGTCCTTGCAGGAGATGACATGGGTACAGCATCAGAGGATTATCATTCAGAAATGGATTCTGAAGATGATGGATGGTACATCGTTATGAGAAAGGTTGATTCCAAATTTACTTGTGAATTCGGTAGTCATGACCGATATTCAAAATAATCTAGCTCTCAAAAAAAATTCTAGGAAGGCTAACATGGTGAAGTGGCTGCACGAAAAAAGCAGAGCATGTTCTTTCCTAACATGCTCTGCTTGAACACGGACATAACATTTTGCGACTTACACCCTACCATCCGGATTTGAACCCCATTGAACTCATTTGGGCTACTGTTAAAAACAACGTGTTCCAAAAGAATGTAACTTCTGGAAGATATGAGAAAACTGGCGAAGCACGAGTTCGATCAAATCACTCTCGAGGAACGGCAAAAGCGTTGTAGTTGATATAGAGCGGAAATATTGGCAAAATGAAACATTCACAGACGTTCAAACATACATGAATTCAGTGATAATAAATTCAAATGACGATAGCAGCACGAGCACAAGCAGCAGTGAATATGAAGAAAATTTGTAGTCAGATAGTGACTGAGATAAGTCACTGAGATAAGTCACAATGAACTGTACTACTACTTATAATACTAAATAAAATATGAAAAGAAATTACGAAGAAGGCATGTTCCATTTGCTACCCTTATTGAAACCAATAATAGGTACGACACTGGCCGGCAAGGGGCTTATCGTAATCCAATAGTAATTTCGTTGGGCGAGTCTATACCTGCGCGATCACTTGTCATCAGCCGTGGTGTGCACTGTTGTTTGTCTAAAAATTGAAAATGTTTCTTCTCTCTTTCTCAAACGCATCACCAATAATATTAAATGAATATAACGTGTCGATTTACAAACTTCCCAACTTGAATACATTTTTTCCATCTTGAAGACGATATTTTCAAGTTATATTTTTAAA